ACCACAATAAAAATAAGCAATCGAGAAGTTGAAACTAGCATGAATAAAGGGAAAAAAGGAGGTATAAATGAGCTCAACATGCAGGTTACAGAAAGAATAGAAATTGAGGTTGCCCTTAAGACACCAATGGATTCTTAAGTAATTTGTGAAAGAATACCATTTATTTTTTTCACAAATTTGTTAATGATGAGTGAGAAGAATAAAATTATGGTATTAAACTGCAGAGGAGAATCAAGTAAATTGTTTTATAGATATTGTAATAAATATGTATCACATTACAAGCCGACAATGCTTATAGTGATGAAGACTATATGCGATCCCATTAAGCTTAATAAAACTTTCAAGCTAAAGGGATTTGATGACAATATTGTGATGGATAATAATGGTTTTGCTGAAGTTCAATCAGCATTGTACTCTAAGGATTTGAACAAACAAAAGGAGCAAAAGCCATCGCCTGTTAGTGAAAGATTGTCCGTTAAGGGAAAATCCTCAAATAAAGATGGCAGGTTTAGAAGAAGAAGGGTAAAGGACAACCTAAGTCTAATGATTATGATTCTCTTGCAATTATATGTTATCACTTTAAGAATGAGGGTCATACAAAAAAGGTGTGCCCTGAACATCTTAATAATCATGGAGGTAATGATAATAGCAACATGACCATTGTGTAAGATGATTATGAATCATATGGCGTTCTTGTAGTTTCAAGCAACAACTTTAGTAAGGAGTGGATTATGGATTCAGAGTGTACTTGGCATATGACTTCAAACAAATACGTGTTTGAGTAATTATGCGATCAAGATGGTTGATCAGTGTTATTGGGAAACAACAAAGCCTGCAAATTATAGGTATTGAATTTATGAGACTCAACCTCCATGATGAGTCAATGAATTTGTTGACCGGTGTCAGGTATGTATCTAATCTTAAAAGAAAATTGATTTCTCTTGGTGAAATTGACAAGAAAAGATTTGTTTTCAGAGGAGAGCAAGGTATCCTGAGAGTCATAAAGGGGTCGAAGGAAGTATTGAGAGGCATAAAAAGGAAGGCTTGTATATCCTTGAGGTTGAGGTTGTAAGTGGTTATCCATATTTTGCATCCATAAAACTAATGTCGAAAACAGAACTATGTTACATGATATGGGGTCATACCAGTGAAATGGGTCTGGTCAAATTAGGGAAACAAAATCTTTTAGGTAGTGACAAGGTCGAAAAACTAGAGTTTTTTAAACCCTGTGTATTTGGAAAAGCTTATAGAGTGAAGTTCAATCAATGCAAACAAAGAACACACGAATCCCTTGCTTACATTCATGTTGATCTTTAGGGACCTACAAGAAGTCTTTCACATTCAACTGCAAGTTATTTCCTATCCATAGTTGATGATTATTCACGAAAGTTATGGGTATTCATTCAGAAGACTATGGATGAAACTTTTGAACATTTTAAAAGTTGGAAGACTCTGGTCGGAAATTAAATTGGCAGAAAGGTCAAGAGGTTGAGAACCGATAATAGCCTTGAGTTCTGAAAAGAAGCTTTCAACAATTATTATGCTATTTCTGGTATTGTAAGGCACAAGACTACAACGAATACTCCTCCGCAAAATGTCCTAAATGAGAGGTTTAATCGAATAATCCTAGAAAAGGTTAGATGCATGGTGGTTAGTGTTGGATTCAAGAAGGTGTTTTGGGCTGAGGCTGCTGTGACTGCAACATACCTGATAAATAGGTGTCCCTCGACTGCCTTGGGTATGAAGACACCTAAAGAAGTTTGGCCAAGTCATCCACCAGATCTTGACAAACTTAGAGTATTTGGCTGTGTAACCTATGCTCATATTAGGCAAGACAAAGTCGAACCTAGAGCTATAAGACGTATGTTCCTTGGGTATCCTGAAAGAGTTAAATCCTATTGGCTATAATGCTTAGAACTAGGTCACAAAAGGCATGTCACAAGCCGTGATATGGTTTTTAATGAAATAGGGATGGCGCTCAAGAAAACTGATGACTTTGGTCAAAATGTAAAGATCTTTGAAGAAGAGCTAGAACAAGAAGAAATTCTTGTTGAGGTGGAGCATATTGATATTGATTTGCATAACCTAGATGAAGTCGGGGAAGAATCACCAAAAGTTGAAGAAACTGAGGAAACTATTGATGACTACTTGCTGGTAAGAAACATGTTGAGAAGAGTCATTAAGCCACCTCAGAGACTTTTTTATGCGAATATCGTAGTGTTTGCTTTAATCTCTACTAGTGAAGTACTTTATGAAGAACCTAGATATTACAAGAAAGTTGAAAGGAGTCGAAATAAGACTGAATAGATGAAATCCATGGATGATTAGATGAAATTTGTTCATGATAACCACACTTGGGAGCTGATTGAGAAACATACAGGAGCCAGGTTAGTCAGATGTAAGTGAATTTTCAAGGTTAAGGAAGGAATCAAAGGAGTAATGTCGAAGAGATTTAATGTAAGGTTGGTTCCTAGGGGGTTCACTCAAAAAGAAGGAGTCAACATAAATGATGTGTTCTCACCTATTGTAAAGCATATATCCATTAGAATGTTGTTGGCATTGGTGGCGAAGTTTGACTTAGAACTTGAACATATAGATGTGAATACCGCCTTATTGTATGGTGATCTAGATGAAATAATTTTGATGAAGCAACTTGAAGGGTGCAGAAAGAGGTAACTATATGTGTGTAGGGTGAATAAGTAATTATATAGCCTGAAACAATCTCCTCGACGGTGAAATAAGAGATTTGATAAGTTCGTGACACACATAGGTTTCAATAGGAGCCATTTCAACCATTGTGTTTACTCAAGATTTTGGTCTGGAAGTTCATTTGTTATATAGTTACTTTATATGGATGATATCCTCATAGAAAATGACAATATCAAAGATGTAATGTTGTTGAAGGCTGAACTTAACAAGGAGTTCAAAATGAAGGACCTGGAAGCTGCCACCAGGATTCTTGGGATTGACATCCGGAGAGATAAAATGAATCAAGATTATGCTTATCTCAAGAGACACATCTAATGAACATTCTCGACAAATTTGGTATGTTGAATTCAAAGTCTGTCGTAAAACTAATAAATCGTCGATTCAAGCTGAGTATGACTCAAAGTCTAAGTACTGAAGTCGAAAGAGCCTATATAAATAACATTCCTTATGCTGGTATAGTAGGTTCTTTGATGTATGATATGGTCTGTAAGAAGCCAAACATTGCTTGCGGAGTGAGCCTTGTAAGCAAGTATATGACCAATCCTGAGAAGACATGTTGGCAAGCTTTGAAGTGGATTTTAAGATACATAGAAGGATCCCTGAGGAAGATCATGGTTTATGGTGGAGCCACAAGCAATGGCAAAGTTGAAATCGAAGGATTTGTTGACTCTTACTATGCAAGATGTTTGAATATGTCTTCACTATGTTTGGTACAATAATCAGTTAGAAAGCAAAGCTTCGAAAGGTTGTAGCCTTGTCAACCATTAAAGTTGAATATATTACCCTCACTGAAGTTGTAAAAGAAGCATTGCAGCTTGAAGGGTTTGCTAACGATCTGAAACTTCAAGGTCAAGTTATCAATATTAAATGTGATAGTTAAAGTGTCATACATCTGTCGAAGAATTCAACATTTCATGAAAGAATCAAACACATTGATGTTAGGTTGCATTTCGTCAGGGAGAAAATCGAAAGTGGATAAGTGAAAGTACTGAAGGTTTCAACTGAAGATAAAACAACATGATAACTTGTTCCCTTGATATTTTGGGGTTTGTCCAAGGTGGAGATATGTATTATTGAATCGAACTCCAGTCTCGACAAGGAGGATTCCACTGGGTCAAATGTGCATGTTGTAGTTAAAGTCTGCTTAAGCATGCAGTGGTCTAAGTTAGTTATGTAGTAGCTATGTATGTCATGTATGAGGGTTATCATCGTACATAACATACATATACTAGTAGTCTATAAATAGAACGGTTCTCTTACTTGTTAGTGAGAGTGTTAATTGTTATTATTCACTTGTAATCTTTTAACTTAAATTGAAAAAGTGAATAGAAAAATAATTATAACCAATTATATTTCTTCTTCTCCTTCCCTCTTTTCTTTTCTTTCATAAAACTAAACTATTTTTTTATTGTTTAAGAAACTCTCTCTTTTTCACATATTTACATCATTAGTTGGCATCATTTGTTATCGAATTGTTAAAAAAAACTATTTCTTTCTCACAAATTTAATATCGTTTCTTACTACATTATAGTTATCGACGCCGTGTAGAAAACTATTGACTATTTTTAGTTTACACTTAGCAAAATAAAGAAAAAATAAATAATATATTTGGTAAGATACAAAGCACCAAAATATATTTTAATGGGTAAATTATATGTAGATACAATCTTTGAAAAAAATTCAAAAGAATAAAGTTGTACGTATTTTATTTTGATCGGTTTAAGCTTAAAAAACCATTTAAAAGAAACGGAAACAATATAAAAACATGAACCGATTTTATTTAAAATTTAACAACGGTTGACATTACAAACAAAATCAAATTTTAAAACACCAATTCAATTCAAACCACACACACCACAATACTATATTGCAAAGACTCGAAAAGCCAAACGTATTCTGAACCAGCCAGCGGCTTAAACAAAAAGCCATTCTGGAACAAGTAAATGAAAAAGGTTGGTTTTTTTACAAACTGTATGAAAGTCAAAACTGGTTTTCTCAATCTTAAAAGTGGACCCCATTGAAGATACGTTTTTGGTCTTGTCTCACTATCAACACTGTTAACGTTATTAATAAAAACAGTGACATTAGAAGCGACAATTGCAGGTGGGATAATCCTCTGTGCTCGATTTTTTGCTTTTTAAAACATACAAAATCACTCAGATTTCGATCCTCCGTATCTCTCTCTCTCCTTCTTTCCTTTTCTCTTTTATATATACTTTACCATTTTTATCAACTTCTTCAAACCATTATTCTCTTCTCATCATCATCCACATAAAAACTTCATCTCTATCATGGCTATCTCCGGCGATGTTCTCAGAGAGTGTTTACCGGAAGTTGTTGGTGAGTTCCACGTGCTTGCTGTTGATGATAGTCATGTGGATCGTAAGGTTATTGAAAGGTTGCTCAAATTCACTTCTTGCAAAGGTAACTTTCATATCTGTTCTTGGTTCTAGTTGGATTATATTCTTAACTGTTATTGATTGCTTTTGTTGTTTTGTTGTTGTTGCAGTAACTGTTGTTGAGAGTGGAACTAGAGCTCTACAGTATCTAGGGTTGGATGGTGACACAAGTTCAATTGGTTTTGATGTGAGTAAATTTTTGATTCTTTTGCTTTAGGAATTTCTTGTTTTTGTTTTGTTTGAGGTGTTTATGTGGTTGTTTTGATGAATATGGTTACAGGGTGTGAAGGTTAATATGATAATGACTGATTATTCCATGCCTGGGATGTCAGGATATGAACTTCTCAAGAAGATTAAGGTGTGTGAATTCTTCTTGTGTTTTTAGAGATTAGAGATTCTGTATGTGTGGTTTATTAAAAGAGGGATTTAATTTGAGTAGTGAATGAAATTTGATTATGTTTTAGGCTTTCTCTTGTTGTTAATATTTACTTATTTATGTTAATTTCAGCAGGAATCATCTGTTTTTAGAGAGATTCCAGTGGTGGTTATGTCCTCTGAGAACATCTTGACCCGAATCGATAGGTATGAATACGATCTATGAATTAGTATTGTTTTTTAGTTAGGCTTTTGAGCTTGATCTATTGTTTTGATTGGTTATGTTTGCATATTGGAAGATGTTTGTTGATTGGATTAGCCTATGTAGTTCCTTTGATTTTTATCCTTTGGTTTTTTCTGTCAAAAACATGTATATTTTCGGGTTTGAAATCCATTTGAGAAAAACGCATAGACGTGAAATCCCTCAAATTTTTGTCAAATCTAGGTTCCTTATGGCAACCTTCTTTTGAAGATTTGCATTACATGCTCAACCACCTAATTATGCAAAAGATCTTGGGAGATCTCAACAGCTAATTAGTCTGTCTAGGCTGGTACTAAATGTAATGCGCATGTTTTGAAGATTATTGTTAATCAAACAATTAGTCATTAAACAACCTTTAGTTTAAAATTAAGAATAACTAATCCATTAACTTTTCTCAACAACACATGGCCCAAATCCTTTCCCTAAAATCTGTGGCTAGCAACAATCTTGCAAAATCTTTCTATTAATGGACAGAATCATCCTGTCAATAATATCATCATGTTAGACACATGGAGTGTGCCAGAACATGTTGCTTTTATCTTGCAATTGTGTCTAACAATAATTGAAGCATGAAAAAAAAGAAAAATTTATTTTCTTACTAGGGCCCTGTTGGCATGACAACATTATTGTCAATATTATAATTGTCACACAATTATACATTTCATCAACAACTTCTATAATTCCTGAAATTTGATGATCCATGAATGGAAGTTTCTTACTTCCTTGCTTGTTTCATATTTATTGATTGTTGATTTTTGTTCATTGACAGTTGCTTGGAGGAAGGAGCAGAGGAGTTTCTATTGAAACCGGTCAAATTGTCTGATGTCAAACGCTTAACAGATTTCATCTTGAGAGGCGAAGGAAAGAAAGTGGGAGGAAAAAGATCACAGAAAAGAAGTCGATCAGATGATTCCATTTCATCTCTATCAACCTCGTGTTCATCATGCGAACTATCATCATTGTCACCGTCTGAAATATCGTCCAAGAAATCTAGACTATAACAATTGGTTCATTATGCAGTGCTCTTTATGTCTCCTTTTTTTGCTGAACTATTGTTCATATTGCGATGTAATTTGCGTTTATACTAAAAAGATTGCTGACAATGAGTATAGGATTAGGACTGATGAAGATTACATCAGGAATCACTTGCTTTTGTAAAGAAAAAGTTTATGAGTAGAAATTTAACCAAATCAGCCATTTTGCAGGGTCTCTATTTTTTTTTTGTTACTCTTGATCTGATTAATTATTTTCAATAACATTTAAAATGATACTAAAGTTTTGAACCCCTATTTAGAGTTTTTATATTTTATATTTTTTTGTGCATTATGGCTGTTGCCATTGATCATCCTAACTACCTTTCCAATCTAAAAGGAATGTTTGCCTAAGTTGTGCTAGATGGCTTGATTGATGAGGATCCAAGTAGGTCCAAGGATTTTTACAATTTGGGTCAAGTTTATCTTACAAGAAAGTACATGGATATGGATTGAGAATTGCTATAAATTAAAGGGTAATGTTAATTTGTATTTCTAGGATATAAGTTAAAAGATTTATTTATAAAAAATAATAAAAAAAATTAATTCTATATTTTTATTTAAATTAAAATATAATTTCTAAGACAATATTTTTTTTAACTTGTTCTTTTAGAACATAAGTTAATATTACCCTAAATTAAATGCACCTAGTTTGTTATGTATATAATTAAATTTATGACCTCACTTATTAGAATTGAAAAAAATTGGGCAATATCCCATGATTTGATCTTTTCCTCACAAAATGATGATGTGGTCTTCTGAAAAATTGGATGTGAAACAATAATGTAATGTATTAGGATAATCACATTTGAAGCTCATAGAGTAACTGATTTAACAAAAGAAAAACTCAGCAATTAAATTTTGTTTCTTTCTCTTTCAAGTTATCAAGTTTTCTTCAACAAGTCCCTGTTGATAAATGAGTGTCTTCTTTATCTTTATATATGAAGCATTCAACATGCCACCTCCATTTAAATCTAACACCCCTACAAACAAAATGAATTAACTATATTTAATTTTGCAAAAATTTTCAAACATTTATCAACATTCATTCAGAATCTGTGCAAATTTCAAAAAACTCCATAACGATATCGGAAATTTCACAATTTTATCAGAAATCTTATGAAACGTAAAGTTTTTACTAGAAATTTCAAAAAGTACAGAACAATACTTTAATTTTTACTAGAGATTTCAAAAATCCCAGTATTTCGCATGCATGTTTTGATGTTTACCGGGAATTACAAAATTTTCGATAGTTCAAAAAATTGGAATTGTACGGAAAATTTTAGAATTTTCGGTAGTTAAATTTATAAAATCATACCGGATATGTAGGAAATTTCAAAATTTCTGATAGCTCATTGATTGCTTTGCGTTTTTCATTTTGCAGTGAAGACCAGTGGAAAGTACGACAACATTGCAGTCAAGACCACGGATAGAGCGAATGACCGGGCTAGGACTGTCGAGACAGAGTCTTCTTTACTACGGGTTAGACGAGTAGTACCAACCGATTCACACAGAAAATGGATTGAGCAAATGCAGTTTCGCACACCCCGTAGCACTTGATGCCGAGTGGTGAGATTATATGAGCAGCCCAGAAATGATATTAAAGTGGTTCATGCTCAGGAGGTGAAAAGTCAGGTTGTTATTGACTCAGTCGTGATACCACCCGGAAGCTGGAACTCTACATAAGGTGCAACTCCGTTGAAATACACTTCTGCCATAATAAAAAATTGAAGAAGAGGCATTTTGAGATGTTTTTCTCAACAGCAGATAACCCTTATTTATACAATTTTGAATTTATTATAGACCACACAAAACAGTCGGTGCAATCACAATCGTATAAAATTGACGGCGAAATCCTAACAGTTGAAAATCATATAAAATTGAACTACCAAAAAATTTTAATTGGTTGAAATTTCCGGTATAACATAGTTTTTTTTTTTAAATACCGATAAAATTTCAAGCATATCAGAAGTATTTGAAAATTTCGGTATTAGTTCATATTAAAAATTGTAAACACACTATCGAAAATTTTGAATTACCTACCAGAAGTTTTGTAGGTACATTTTAATCCAACTTTGAGCAGGGGCACTTTTGGAATTATCAAATAAAGTGGGGGTGTCTAGTATAAAAGACGGGATGACAAGTTAAATCCTCTCATAAACGATATATTTTCTTTTTTTGGTTTTCACTACCAGTGTGTGCGATGTATGAATTAATTTAACAATTAATTACATAAAATATGTTCAATAAAATGATTAAATTAAATGGTCATACTTTATGTTGTAATATAATCGAAGTTGTAGCCTAAGTGCAAATTAGTTAGCGTTAGGGTTTGTTATGTTATTTACTTAGTATATCGGTAACATACATAAATATAAATAAGTTTTAATAGACATTCAATAATAACAATCATTATTCTTCATTCTATCTCCTTTTCTCTCTTTACTAAAAGTGTCTCACACACTAACAAATTGGTATCTAGAGCTCCAATTAGTTTTTTGACCATGTTTTTAACAATCAAACATCGACGATCATGTTTCCGGGATCGTGGGTTGTTAATCGCGTTTTCTACAAAGATGACTGGTAACAATTGCATTCTGAATTCTCTTCCAATTTTTGACAGCATGAATTGGATCCAATGGAGAAAATAGATGCAATTTCTATTTGGCTTTCATGAAACCCTAGAGGTGGTTATTAATGGCATCTATGAGCTTGCTAAGAACGCAACTGACGCTCAGAGAGCCGCGAACAAGGAGGCCAAGAAGAAAGATTGCAAAGCTACATTTTATATTCAATTGACAGTAGACACGATAAACTTTGATCAGATTTCTCATGTTGAATCATCGAAGGAGGCATGAAATATTCTTGTCAAGTATTACGAAGGAGTTGAGAAGGTTAAAGTCGTCAAATTGTAGACGTTGCAAATACAGTATGAATTACTACAGATGCGAGAAGAAGAAAAAATTGTAGGTTATATCTCAAAGGTGCAGAAGCTTGTCAATCTCGTGAAAGACTGTGGTGAAACCATAACTGATAAGATGATAGTTGAGAAGGTAATGCGTACATTAACCTCTCACTTTGATAATTTGCCTCAATTACGTTTTTGTGTATTTTATCATTGGAAATCGTTTTACTTATTATGTAGCATTATCATCAATTGGTTTTTATCTACACATATTTGAGCTTTTTGATAGCGGTTCGATCTAGACGATTCAATTCAGGTCACTTCCGCTAGCCATTGATTTTTGAAGAATAGTTTTTGTAAAGTAATTTTTTTTTGGGATCTATTCACCCCCTCTAAATAAGTCTCTTTTGTCTAACAAATATACTTTGGCATCTTTAACTACTATCATACTGATAACCCATATTTCGTGAGTTATTATACAGTCTAATCTCTTGTTTAAGACTAGTAGAATTATCATTTTATTTATATTTTAATGCATTATAGATGTTTTTGTAGTTCTAGCATAGAGCATAATAAGTGATCTCTTTTGTAGTTTTGATGTGTTTGTTGCTTGTTTTAGTAATGTTCTGATGAGCTTAGGTAAGAAATTTGAGGGCAAGATCTCAGAGTTCAAGCTGGAACAAAAATGAAGTCTGTTAAGAGATGAAATGAAAAACCATCTAAATCGTTAGGGCATACGTGGATAAGGAGATGCACTGGGAAGGAATATTTGTTTGTGTGTTGGTAGAGCTCCCTCAAGCTGGGTGGATAAGACTCATGGTTCTAGAAGACAAAATAAGGTACAATATTACATCCTCAATAGAACACGCCATGCAAAAAGAACAGTGTTGTCTGCCCTCTACTACAACAGACTGCCATGCTACACCTTTTCCCCCACTACTATCTCTGTACTTGGTTCCTTGTAGACAAAGCTAAAGGAAGTAAGGGAATATTTTATTTTGATATTTGGGCTTGATGTGATCCTAAAAATACCCATGATCCAAGACAGAAGAGATAGAAACCTTAGTTGAAGGCTTATATATAGACCATATTAAAGTTTGCTGGAGAGAGTTTAACACCTTAGAGGAAAAACACAGTGAGTATTATTGTAAGAAAGAGTGGAGAGAAAAGAGAGTTTCTTCTTGTCATCCCTTCTAGTGCTGATTGTTCAAGCCTGGCGCGATTGAAGTCATCACTTGCAGTTTTTCCACCACAAGGAAGCTTCACATTACTTTTAGGTTGCTATTTCTTTTTCATCTCTTGTTAAGAATGTTTCCTTTCAGAACCAACTTTGTAAGCTATACTCAACCCATCATGAGTTAAACATTTTGTTTGTTGAGTAACGAGAAGTTAATATGAAGTTGTTTTTATGTTAAAATGTTGTGTACTTGAGTGCCTTTTTTAATTATGTGGTAACTTGTTTAAATCTATTTCTTTGAATGATCAAATTAGAAGAAAAAAAAAGTTTGTTGTTGTGAGAGATCAAACAACAAGTGGATTTCATAATAAAAGTAGTTGTACGAGTAGGGTAGAGATATTCACTCACTTAGTTTGCTTAGAGATAAGAAACTATAATTATAAAGGAATTTCAGGAGACAAACAGACGTATCATAAGGTTATAAGTAAACTTGGAAATTTGTTCCCTTTCCCTTGTATGCATGTTTTTGATGTTGTAGAAATACACTCCTTGATCACTCATTGACCTTTTTCTAGCACGACACATCACATCATATACACATAATTACGTCATACATATTAATGGATCACAGCTCAACATACACTTTCTTAATACAATTACAACTCTTTCTCTACAATAGTAATTTACTAATTTGAGAAACACTGAACTTGTGACAACCTATTATTATTTTTACTCTTACTCATGCTTAATATCTAAAGATAGTTGCTTACAAAATCAATCTAAGTTACATCCACTTCCTATGTGTATAATATCCTTACTTTTTATCACTTGTTACTTGTAACGAACATGTATACTTGCATGTAACACGTTTTCAGTCAACACATACCTTGAATTTTACACGCTTTGTTGTTTTTAAGTTGAACAACTCCACCTTTTTTTAACTCCAAAATTTCAAATATACATTCCTTAGTCACATGTCATAAGAGTATCGATTTCCAAGATCCAACTATTTTCTGCTCCCACAAAACCATCAATCTTCCCTTTCTCATCACAAGTCTTCTTGAAGTGACTTATTTTTAAATGTTGAATTTCAGCTATTAAATTACTTGACAAAAACAAAAATAAATATTTTTTACTATAATATTATTACAATTAATTTATCATCCACTTAAGTCAAACGACTTGTTCTTCACACTTGTACGTAATTACTGAGTAAGATTTTTTTTCTTCTTCTATTTTTCAAACAATATAGAAGAGTTCATACTACTGTTTTTATATTTAAATATGTTTAAATGTTTAGTTAATATCATCAATTTTTAAATATGTAAATGCTATGATTATAACAAAATGGCAATCTTATTATAATTGCTAGAATTAAAACTTGCAAGATGAGAGCACAAAAGTTAGTTGCTCTACAATTAACTCTCAACCAACTACTTATAAATACACAAAACCATTACAGAATGCTCCTTAATCATGCCAAACGGCAAGACCAAATTCAGTTATCTTTTCATTGATAATTTAACCGTCCTATCCTATGTGAACCTTTTAAGATAACAACATTAATATATTGCATCTACCATAAAAGATAATAGGACAATAACATGAAAACAAAATATTCATTTCCAAACTATTTTAAGTTATTATAACCAACCAGCCAACCCCCATTTGTTATGTAATAAATTAACAATTTAAATTCATTACTAAAACGTTGTTTTTAAGACTGAAACTTATATCAATGATATAATATAAAAATAATTTTTTTTAATAAAAACTTATCAACTCTTCAATGTTGGTATTGCTCTTGTTGATGTTAACCATATATTATCCATTAATAAAATGAGTAAAAGCCAACAACCTTTCCCATAATGCAACAGCTGGAGCAACATTGTCATTTCACAAAGTTGCCATAGAGACGGCATACAAGAGGTAACAGTAGCAAAAATCAACATTGATAGGATCATTGTTTATTTTTTAAATAAACGTCGATTCCTTTCAGAAAAAATTGAAGATAATTTTTAGCCTAATTAACAAGATAAATAAATGATCTATTAACATCGACATTTTGATACAAAAAATACAGTGCCCTCGTGTAATTTTAAGATGTGTGAAAAACCTTAGAATTAAGGTTTTGTTTAATTTATCTTTTTAAATTTGAAAAGTGAAAATCACGGTAAAACTTTGAATACACTCTTTCATAAAGTCTGAATATCGAAAACAAATATTAGTGATTAGTAATTCGAATTCGACTTTAATATTATTTTAAAATTGTAATTTAAGTTTAAATTAAAATTAAAGTTTGTCTTAACTCATCTTAAAATTGTAGATAATAATTGTTATAAAAATTTTAAAATATATAGGTTTAAATAGATAAACCGTTTTATAAGTTAGTGATTTTTTCGTCTCTTTATTTATTTTAAAAATAATTCCTTAATGTTAAAAATATTTTGGTATATGTATCTAAAATTAAAATTTGTAGAAAATTTTTTTCTACACATTTTAAATTTATATGTGAATTTTAAAATTCAAAATTATTTTTGAAAAGACAAAAATATAAGAACGGTAATAAAAAAACTCTTTAATTTATAGGGACAGGTTAACTATTTAAATCAAATATATATTGGAAGAGTTACATTTGATAAATAATTAAAATAGATACAATTTTTATATTTCAAATGATAAATAAAATATGGATCATGTTATTGGAAAAATATTATCAAAATATATATTTTATCACGACTCTAGACGTTAGTTTGAAAAGAAAAAAATAAATATTCAAAACGAAATAAAATTATTTTAAAATTAAAAAAGAATTTGATAAATATACCTGTTTTAACAGTTAAATTTTAATTGAAAAAGACTATCTAACAAATTTGTTAGAGCTAAATTGTGTGTAAATAATTTTTTTTAAAATTTTTGTCATAGCTAAATTGTGATTAAATAAAATTTACATTTATTTTTATCATAATTATCCCAAAAAAACAATTACATTAAAAATTGAGGGGGACGGCTCAACCATTACATCCACTATTAAGAATGGAGAACACTTACTATGTTCTTTTTCCTTTTAAGTCATTGAAATTGTAAGAACATTGGTTCATCTATTTTTCCTTTTACCCATGATTTTGTTTTTGATGAACCAATGACTATTTGCTTTATTTTTATAGCCATTTTTTATTTTATGTTATGAAAAACATAACTTATAATATAAGTAAAGTTTTTAATATAAGCTCAGCATCCATAACTTTACAACCTTTGTATGATTTCATTGGTCACCAATTTGGAATTCCCATTTAATAAAGTCCAATTAATATCTACCAATTGACAACCACCTCATTGAAATTGTCATCAACCATTGGCACTAGATTAAAAATAAAAAACACATACTTCACTAAATAACTTGTAGTTTGATTCATCATGTTATTTTTCACATCATCTTTATATTATTATTCTTCAATTTTTGCTCTCCATTACCCTTTTCTTTAATCATATCAATGTCACCTCCTATTGCAATGGCTGTGGTTGCTACGGTCATATCTATGTTATTCATTTTTGGGATTTTCCTTTTCTTCTACCACAGATTTTTTCTTGCTAGATACCAAACTAGAAACAAAGGTAGTTTTCTTCATGAGCCAGATATGAAAAGATTTGGTGGGAATGTGAAAGGAGTAATTGCTGATGAAAATGGTGTTGATGTTATTTATATGATGGACAAAGAAAGTAGACAAATGATAACTAGTTTTCCAAATTGTATGTTTAATCCTAGCTATGAAGATGATGTAGAAAAAGAAAAGATTATAGATGTTTTGGTTCATAGGTCAAAAATATCTAACCCTTATCATGAGAATCTATTTTCATGTGAATCTCCATTACAAAAAACCTTACCAATGAGTTACAATCAACCATTACCGTCTCCTCCTTCTTCTCCGCCTCCGCCTCCGCCTCCTCCGCCGCCGGCTCCTCCGAAGAAAGTAACACCAAAGGTACTACTTCCACCTGGTCCACCTCCACTTCCAAAGGCTAGTGGCTTTTCATTCATGAAACCACCGCCAGCACCTAAAGGAAAAGCAAACATGAAAGAGGGTATGATAGGAGAAAGTTCAAGAGAGAAAGGTGGTGGTTATGGACAAACAAGGCTAAAGCCTCTACATTGGGATAAGGTTATAGCTGATGTTGATCATTCTACTGTGTGGGATCAGATCAATGATGGATCTTTTAGGTAATGTGTGATTTCTTTTAAATGTTGTTTGATTTGAGTCTCACATTGTCAATGTTCTTAAAGTGTGGATCCTCATATTTAGGTGTGAGATCTAAGGAAGAAAATTTAATAAATTTCACAATTTTTGATTTATTTTTACCTTTCTTACAGGTTTGATGATGAACTCATGGAATCACTCTTTGGATATTCAACCAGATATAAAACTCATGAAAGAAACATGTCTCTTTCCAGTCTGGCAAAGAACAATTCCAATACACCAACTCAAATATTCATCCTTGAGCCAAGAAAATCTCAAAACACTGCAATTGTACTTAGATCACTAGCAGTTTCTCGGCGCGAAATTCTCGACGCAGTACTTGATGGTCAAGAACTCAGCGTTGAGACACTCGAAAAACTCACTAAAATAGCCCCCTCTCAAGAAGAAGCATCCAAAATTGTCCAATTCAGCGGTAACCCGAATAGCCTCGCAGAAGCCGAGTCTTTCCTATACTACATCCTTAAATCAGTTCCAACATCATTCATCCGTTTAAAAGCAATGCTTTTCAGATCAAACTACGACAGCGAAATTCTTCAGCTTAAAGAACACTTACAAACACTTGACTTGGCTTGCAAGGAACTGAAAACTAGCAGTCTGTTTTTGAAACTCCTTGAAGCCATTCTCAAAACCGGTAACAGAATGAATGCAGGAACTTCAAGAGGTAACGCGCAAGGCTTCAACCTAAGTGCTCTTACGAAACTCTCTGATGTAAAAAGCACAAATGGTAAAACTAGTTTGCTTCACTTCATAGTGGAACAAGTAGTTCATTCAGAAGGTAAAAGACAAGCAATCTTTGAAAGTGAAAAAGAATATCTAATCCTTGGTTTACCAGTGTTAGGTGAACTAAGTGATGAGTTATCAGAAGCTAAAAAAGCAGCTACCATCCACTATCAAAGTTTCATCACTATGTGTTCAACTCTAATTTCTCATGTTACTGAAATTAGACACATAATAACATGTTGTGGTAACACCGAAAAAAGTGGATTCATCAATGACATGAAAGGATTTCTAGAGTTATGTGAGGAGGAACTTAAGGTTGTGAAAGAGGAACAAACAAGGATAATGGAAGTTGTGAAGAAAACAAATGACTACTATCTAGCAGGAGCATCTAGAGACAATAAGCCTAATCCTTTTCATTTGTTTGTTATTGTAAAAGATTTTGTTGACATGGTAGGTCAAACTTGCATTGAACTGAAAAAGAAGGTTGAAAACAAGAATGTAAGAGTAGAGTTTGGATCAACAACACCACCCTTGTCTCCATCAAAGATGGTGCCACTGAGATTCTCTAACTTTGATTTGAATTTTATGTCAAATAGGTCAGACTCTACATTTTCCAGTCAATCAGAAGATGGTTTCTGAAGATGGATTTTGCATTTGTGTTTCTTTGGTTTATGCAAAAAGTGTCCATTATAGTTCCTTCTTTAAATCATAGGTTTATTATGGAAAATCTTTAACTTCTACAAACTTGAAGGTGTACATAAATTATTGGTGTATCCTAGCTGTTGTGTTAGTGTGATATGTTACACACTTACACTGTATTTATTTATTGGTATCTTTACCTTTCTTTTTATCTCTTACTATACACATGGTTTTAAAACACACATGAAAACCAAATAACATAGAATGCCAAAATAAAATTTTGATGTTTAAAATCATTTTAAGTTAAATTGTGTTTATTTATTTATTTTATTTTTTTTGACAACTTCTCTACCAATCTATAAAAGTTAGGTAGTGTGCTTTCAATCAATAACTTAATGTCATTTAACTTTAATTATTTATTAAATTGTTTAAGTTTGTGAGGTTTTTAAAATAATTTACTCAATGTATAACTCTATCAAACTTTTTATTTTCGGTTGTTAAATGCTCACTAAGACCAATTTATTTCATAAGTTCAATCCATAAAAAAAAGTTTTGCTCACTTACGCAAAGTGAACCTTTATTTTTAGATTGTCTTTCTTTTCGACACCGTCTCTTTAGTCGTGTCCCCTTTTTCTCGAGTTCACCTTATTTCTTGGGGTTCCCTCTAAGGTTGGTCTTTCTTTCCAGCGTCCACCACCTCCATAGTCTTATTCAAATTTGTCGCCATAAGATTCTTTGTCTGTACCGTCACCCTGAAACCAGCTTTAGGGAGTGTTTTTGACATCACAGATGAGGAAGGAGCAACTCTCCCTCCTTTATTAATCGCCGGAATAATGTTAAGACATCCAATGGTACATACAAGGAGAAACAATACAAATCAGTTTACAAGAAGAAAATGACTTAGCAGAATACAAATTAACAAAGTTCACAGTGGGGTCACTCCTCACCAATATTTTTTTCTCCTCCTTAGTACACGCTACAAATAGGAAACAAGTTTTAATGTAACAGTTTTTATTTTTTAGAGACTTAACACCCTCAAGGTCAACTTCTTTATTGTTCTCAAGATTGTTCTAGAATTAGGTTAGGTCCCTTTCATCCATACCTCTAAACCATTTAAGTTGTATTCTTTGTAAATAAATATTCTCGAACCCTAAATTAATTAATTCTGCGTCCAAAACTTCAGAAATTTATCTACACATGGTGAATTTGAGGAGAACAAAGGGAGTAAAAGGGGAACATTTAGGAGAAGACTACATTTCTCTCTTCAAACTCATCATGGTCGTGAAATAATTATTGTAAATAGTGGGTTCCAAATTAATTCATCGCCTTTTTCTAGTCTTGAAGACCCCTGCTAAAATCTCATAGACACTTTTATGAGCAACGCGGTTGAGAGGGAGAAACAAAGTAATATTTCTCCTTGAATTTTTTGAAGCTAACCATGTATACGTCAAAATAATTTATGACCTTGCTTAAAGGAGATCAACTCTTGAGGATGGTCAGAGTCGGTATATATTTTTTTAAACATGAAACAAATGGAAGAATATTGCCATCATATGAATGTTATTTTTATATTCATACCGTTGTTGGAACACCTTCACATAAGCCTAACTCACAAAGTGCAGTAGTGAAGAGGAAATCACTAAGTGATTCTGAAGTCCAACTTCAAATTCATTAAAAGGGAGGGTGAAGCACGTCTTATATAATAGACACTCTTACAGAGGCAATCCACACATTTTGTACTAGCTATAGAGGCATTTACCATTTCTTGAAAAAATTACATGTCAATCCAAGAACAAACCACATCGTAATAAGAATACTTCATTCTAGTGCACCCGTGTATTAGGGTGGTCTTTATCGATGTTTTTTGATAAACAATCACTTAATTTTGAATAATTACTCAATAAAGTAACAAGAAAAAGTTTGAAGGTAAACCAAGAAATTAACAGTTTCGACTGTGTCAAAATCCAATAGGAAATAAAGTAGGAAAAGTAATAAATAGATAAGACAAAGTAAAGAGAAAGTACGAGTTATTATTAAACAAATAAAAGTTTGTGTACAGAATCGTACATATTTCTCACAAACTCATTTCTCGCTCTTACTTGGGTACTTTGAGTTCTATGGAGATTTTGTAATGATATTTCCACCTGATTCTTAATGCTAGAACCAATATATATACTAATGTATTGTCTACAACTGTTATTTATTCATTGTCCGACATGTAATCCTCTGTGAAGTTTTCAACCTTCTATCTTGTTTCCACGTGTCTTCGACATTTGGATAAGATTAAAATCATTTACTTAATCTGATCCTTTTACCTTGTCTCAACCATCACGGTTGATGACTCAACTCATCGAGTTATGAGGAGAAACATTCTCAACATTTAGAAAAAATGCTAATTCAAAAACTCATGGTTAATATGTTGAACTCGACATTATGGTCGAACACTAATCTTGTCACACCTGTCGCCATATGTCCTTATTTTTAACTAAGTATTGTATTAAAATCGTTTTCTCTTTGTCAAACTCTACATGTCAAGAATTTTATGCTAACAAATTGCCCCTACAAATGAAACTTTCGACCATTTGAGAGACAAGTGGGTTTTTTTGAAACTAACAACATTATTTAGAATGGTGCACTGAAGTCACCATTATCATAACCACTCTATAAAAATGTCTTTTCAAGACGTGCACCTAAAATACTTCCATCATGGTTTCGTTTTCCCAGAAATAACGTGGGTCACACAATAAAACATTTTCCAATCCACTTTTAAACGAAGAAAAAATGTGTAAACTAAAAGGGGTCAACGATTTATTTTCAAAAGAGAGAAAAAGAGAAATGATGAGTCTTTCTCATATGACTACATATACCCCTCTTTCACAATTTTTTCTTTTCTCCACTTCGTCTCAACTTCTCATTACTCAAAAGAAACTACACTCTCTCTCCTAAACTTCATCTTTTCCAATGCTACTTCACCATTTCTAAACGATGGTGTCTTCATCAAACCCAAGAAACACACAACCACTTGTTGTAGCCATCAAACTTCTCATTCCTGTTGGGAATTAAGCTTACGTCCCTGAGCCACCAATGGAGGAAGAAAAAACCCTAATATGTAAATCTCAGATACTGATTCCATTCTCCGTTTTTGATAATGTACATGCATTTCTGGGTCCACTTCCTGACCCTACTACGGATATTAAGAAAGTGAGGGATATCTTTCCTTTCTACTATCGCACCATACCCAGTGTTTTCTTAAATCAAAAATATGATTTGATCTTCATGAGTGCTTCTTCTTGAGTTTTACGCTCTGCATCATATACCAACCAAAAAGAGTACATTCAGTGGCTAAACAAAGTGGAATCAAAGAAAGCACAAGTTTGGAAGGAACAAGGTCTCTTTGACTTGATTGAACTTCATAGGGTTTGTCGAATGTACAATTCAATCACGCTTCTTGCATCACTGCAATTATGGTAAAGTTCGACAAACTCTGTCCAGTTTCTTTGGGATAATCACACTGAATCCACTCGACTTAGTTGTTATCACTGGTCTTTGATCAAATTGTGACATTTTCGAACCTACGATGCAGGATGAATGTACCATCAGCTTCAATCCTTTTTGGCTTCTACAACTTTGGCTCAACGCCACATCCAACTCTTCTCTAAAGGCAGACATACCAACCGGCTAAGCTGAAGAAATAGAAAATTGACAAATCGAAGGCACTGGACTTTCCCTACTTACCCCAACGAACACAAGACGTTTGACATAAGAAGTGTTCACTGAGCATTTTATGATGTTTGCGAGGCACCATGTGTTTACTTCTTCTACGACCCATTTCACTAGTCGAAGTCACGTGCTAGATTAGTTTATAAGAGAATTTCCTACCCTTGGTGTTGAGCACCAATTCGAGGTTGTTGATATTTTGAGAGCCTTTCTCACCCCTAAACTGCTATCGATGAGGCTTGGAACTACCAAGGATACCATAAGGCTTATTGTCTACCAACCTAATCTGGTAGCTTGATAGTTTAGCTTTAGCCAATGTTTACCCAAATCTCTTTTCGGTCGGAAAAGGGATCTTTTTCTGAGCACTGTTGAAATAACTGAAGAAGAGTACTCTGTGCATATTTCTCAACAGAATGATGAGAGCATCAATCTTACACCTTTCCAATTTCAAGTGTCTTTCTATTGCACTCAAGCATTCAACACCAGGTGGAAAGACTACCATACTAAAAACTTTGTAGATGTGTGAACTCTTATGCATTACTTAATGGAAGTTTTTTCTTCTCTACGAACCAAATTTAAAAAAGGTAGAGGTACGCATATTAAAGAAATCCAAGATTTTCAGTGTTACTTTTAAAATGTGTATAACTCGCATAACCTTAGTCGAACTATATACGAGGCAGCCCTCACTTTAAAAAACACTTGTCGAAAAGATGCCTAAACTGAATTTTCCTTATGTAAAATATAAATATGCAGGTTGGTTTGGATGAGATTGATCAGATACACGAAAAATAAATGCATACAAATATTTTTAAAAAATAATTTTTATATCAATTAATTTTCCATAATATTATAAAATTCTTAATTTTTTCGTTTATATATCTATGTTATGAACGGATCAAATAATGTTTCATTTTTTTTTGTTGAAGTTGAATACTTTTTACTAGTTTCTATGATAATGATCATATGAACTAGGCGAATTAATTATGATTGGTTCGGGTAGACGGGCTCGCGAGTAGAATTTTAGAAATCCTATGCCCGAACCAATTAACATCGAGTTTCATTAGTTTGGTTCGGTTTTTGTCCAAACAAAAAAATGCCCGATCCAAACACCTTGGTTTGGTTTGGATTTCGGGTTGGTTCGGATCTTCCCAAACTAATGAACACCTCTAGCTTTTGCTTTAGAATTTCATCCACCTAAATTCCCACTCGTGAGTTTGCTTTGACTTTTAAAGATCCATTCCCGCAGTGGTTTACTTTTGGATCTTTTCTAGAAGTTTTGGAAA